GTCTCTCTCTCTCTCTCTCTCTCTCTCTCTCTCTCTCTCTCTTTCTCCCCCTCCCCTCAATACGACGTCCCACAGCTGTGTCAAGGTGAGAATTTATTATGACTCAACACTGTAAGGGCATTCAATAGAGGCATGACCTCTGCAAGTAATGTAAGATTCACACAAGTTTTGTTTTCGAAAGGGTTTTACGGCATTTGCAACACAGTTGGGTCACACATATGCCGAAGATTATGTCTGTTTCAAGAGAGTAACAAAAACAAGAATAAAGAAAAGTAGGAATGATAAGGACAAAAGGTGTTTGATCAGAAAGAGGAACAAACCATACCACGCAGAGCACCCACCAACCACTCACAAGTACATAGGACAGCAATTCCGAATCTATTTAAGACTAACACAAGTCCAGCCAAGTGAATAATTTAAAAAAAAGTCTTATAACCCACATTCACCCCCCTCTCCGAAACACATAAAAAATACCTGTAAAAAATCCTTTAATACGATAGCAAGGGGCATTTGGGCGACACCTTCACCAATAAATTCCAAGTAAATACCTCGGGAAACTTCAGAGGAGTCGCAAAAAGGGTAAATGGAATGTTTGCTTCAAAATTGCTAAATCTTGTTTAAACTTACACAATATGTTTGTCGTGCCCTCTTACTGTATGTACTCGGTTTCAGATGTCTACGTACTTTTCCGGATAAAAAAATATATTATCAGTTGTCGATCCACGATAGATTCAAAATATTTGAATTCTCGAAATCTCACGATTACCAGTCCGGTAGCCTAACCACTAGGCTACCGACGCCACTATTAAAAAAAGAAAAAAAAAGAAAGGAACAAACAAAACAAATCACCTGTTTTCTGTTTTGACTATGATGGACAAGGACACAGCAATTCATGCCCATCTTTGACCCCTCCCTCCCCTTTTCCAAAGACACAACCGCCTTCCCCCCAATTAAAAAAAAAACCTGAAAAGAAAGAAAAAGAAAGCGAACCCCCCAAATAAAATTAAAAATTAAAAAATAAAATAAAATAAATAAATAAAGAGAAAATCACCTGTAACAAGGTCTGTGGCAGATAATCCACTATGATAGATAGGTACACAGCATAAACCAACAACACAGTTATACTCATGCTCATCTTCGCCCCCCCCCTCCCGAAAAACCAAACAAACAAACAAGCGAACTAACAAACAAACAAACAAACAAATCACCTGTTCTGAGGTTTGAGGCAGATTGTCCGCTATGGTGAACAAGTAGACAGCTTTAAAAGCCAACAGCACAGTGATGCTCAGGCCAATCTTCTCTCTCTGTCTCTTCAATCTTTCTCTCTCTCTCTCTCTCTCTCTCTCTCTCTCTCTCTCTCTCTCTTTCTCACTCTCTCCCATTATACCTCTCTATCTCTCTCTCCCTGTCTTCCCCCCTTCTCTCTCTTTCTCTCTTTGTCTCTATTTCTCTGTCTTTCTGTTTCTTT